GCCCTCTGATCAATCATGAACACCACTGCATTGGGAGCTAAAGCTCTCATTCCAGATGGCATTTCACAGGCTTGATTCCAGATTAGACCTTTATCATAAGCCTTTTTAAAAGCTCCTCTCTAAGACCCTGGTGTTACACGTAATGAGAACTCTGCTGGGATAGGGGCTCCTCAAGCTAATGGCTGTCTCCTGGAATACAGCTTCGCAGACAAGCTCATAGGCACAGCTGTCTCAACCAAGATGCAGGAAAGATAAGTGTCATTGTTCTCACAAATCAAACTTTCCCCTCAGATTACATTCTTCACTTATATCACTGCAGCTCAGGAATTCGAAAGTTCTGTATGGATGATTTCTCATGCACAAGTGAGTGACCAAAATAAGTTTGACAGCTTGAAGGAAAAAAAAAATGAGGCACAGAGGTTCCGAATCAGAGCTACCAGAAGTTGCTGCCATGGATTTTAGAAGTAGAACGTAGGACCCCCGCCCCAGGAATGCTGCCCCACAAAGATCCCCTGCCCCCACATCTAAGTCTCTCTTTCTATGTCTGCACATTGATGTGACTCGGGTACCTAAGCTCGATGCACTCATCTCACGGAGCCACTGGGAAGGGCAGGCAGTCTGTGCAAGGAAAGGAGTATGCCAGGGTCCCACTAACACTGTGGGCATCCAGGTCAAGGGCACCCTTCAAATAACATGTAGGATTTGAAAGAGCAACTGAGAGCTAGATTAGTAAAGTTAGCCTGTGAACTTAGCAGACCCTTGAGGGCAAATCATTTCTATGTATTCTTTCTAAATGAAAGAAGTCCGTGATGGGCATCTAGCATTTTAGCTGTCCGGGAGTATCCTGCTCCATTTCTGCAAACTGTTCTTTCTTTGGGCAATCTCCAGTTCTCCATCCCATCCACATGGTCACACCAACTTAGTAAAATACCACCCACCCTGGGTCACTAGTGGGTGGCCCAGGTTACCCTGGCTACCCAAGCTGGGCCCACTGGCATCCTGTCACACATTATTTACAAACTGGAGCTAAGCAGCTTGGGTGAAACTGAGTCTATACACTATTAGCAGCCAAGGTTCAAAATGCAGGGGAAAAAAATAAAATAATTGCCTAAACTACAGCAATCATGGAATAATCTCCTTAATATCTAGGTAGTTTAGTTCTAATTCACCCTGTATCTTCCACAGCACTTTATATAGCTAACACTGATCTCCCCATGAATGTGCTCCAAAAATAGTGTCTAATATTTAATTAAACACACACAACAAATGCAACTCCTTGTTCTAAAGGGCTTTTTCTGGTCTATACCTAATCTGCATGAGCAATCACCATCTGCATGGCCCCTACAGCTTGCCAAATGGGCCTGTTGGGGAGAAGATAGAGAAGTGGAACAGGACAGAATTTCACGAGCAGTTACTAGAACAGGAAGAGTTGAAACTTGGAGTGAAAATCATGTCTCGCAAAGCAGATTGTCACCCTGGGGAACTCTCTACACATACAGGCTCCCCCTCAGACTTCCCCCAGGTTCCACTCACACCTTCCTTCAAGAGGTTATTTCCAGGCCAAAATCTCTCTTCCAGTTTCCAGCTCTACATTCTGAAATGTTTAATACACGCTTCCCCTGATGTAATGGCAAACCACCTTCTCCCCTAAAGTAGCCACTTCTTCTGACTCCCCTATTGCTGCAGTGGAGCCCACTTTCCAATGATGGATTGATTACCAAGGTTCAAAAATCTTATGATACTGCCATGCAATGCCATAGTGTGTAGTTATTGAAGACACTATAGTACACTATAGTACACAATTGACGCTTGAACTGTATATTGAACAATGCAGGGGTTAGAGGTGCTCACCTCCTAGACGAAAATCCACATATGACTCTGACTCCCCCCAAACTTAACTACTAATAGGCTCCTGGGTACTGGAAGCTTTACTGATAACATAAAGTCAATGAACATATATTTTGCATATTGCATACATTATATATGTGTTCTTACAAAAAAGTAAGCTAGAGAAAACAAAATGTTAAGAAATTCATAAGGAAGAGAAAATGCACTCACATTACTGCACTGTATTTATCAATACTGTAAGTTTATATTGTCTGTTTATAAGAAATTTGGCATATAAGTGAACCAAAGTTCAAACCCATGTTGTTCAAGGGTCAACTGTATACTGACCCAGAAAACGTTTGCAGTATATATGGTACCCAGAATGTATGATGTGATCCATGCACACATATGCACACCCATGCAAGCAGGAGAGTGCAATGGCTAAACAGGACTTCAGAGTGGGACACACCTGGTAGTTTGTGACCTCAGGAGAGTTACAGAAATTGTCAGTGATTTTTAAAAGATATATGAAATAGACTGAGCATCAATCTCGTAAAGATAGAAGAATTAAATTAAAATGATGTACGGAAAGCATTCAAATTGTGTCTACTGAGGAGATACATCAAAATGTTAACACTGATTACCTCTAGATGTTGGAACTGTCATTTTTTCATTGTTTCACTTTGCTGCATTTTCCATAAAAAAAAGCTTAAGTCATCTCTGACCCCTATTCCTTACCCTGATACTGATATTTAATCAGCAATTCCTGCAGGTTCTGCTTCAGCAAAGTGTCCCCCATTTGACTTTTCACATTCACTGCCCCTGGTCTGCTGGAGACTCCCCCAGTCTCACCTCTAGCATCTCCTTGCTATCCAATTAATCCCTCAAAGTCCAACTCTGTGCCACTGTCCTGCTTACATCCTTTGCAACAAAAGGCATTTGGCAACGCCCTACAGGCACCTTCCCTGCACCCTCCCTCTCAGTTTAATATGCTTTTCCCCAGCTGATCTACTTAGACCACTCAGCTCCACTCTGCAGCTACTTTCTTAGCGCCCTTGACCAACCTCATTATTTTATAATCCCTCCCTGCCATCCACACCACCACTGCTGGAAGGGGGTCCCCCCTCAGTGCTCAGATAGGACTTTTTCAGAAAGAGATTAGCCACATTCTGCCAAACATCTAGTTATGTGCCTTGACACAGATTTGACCTCAATCTTCCCAATTAAATAGATGGACACAGACTATTTTGCAGATAATTCAGGAATTCTAGTTCTTATCTCTCAAGATGGCCCCAGTGGGTGCCTCAGCTGTATGTGACCATTCAGAGCCCCATTGCCATGGTTAGTAATTCTCTTAAAAAGCTGTGAGACTACAGCACTATTTTTTAAAGGCCAAAATACTTTTAAAGACCTTGAGACATTTCTTGAAAGGGACTTGTCAAGGCCTGTAGCCACATCTTATCTTTATCTCAGTTAAATATCAGCAAGACCAAAGATGGCTGTTTATTTTCCTTGTGCTTCAAATAGTTAGGCTTAGCAACAGCTCTGGTCCAAGGCATAATTATAAGGTTGTGAATGCACTTTAGTCACACCAGGAGGGACCTGGAAAAATACTTTCGGGAATGGCATTGACTCCCAAGTCACCACAGCCTGACTCCCTCACATGTTTAGAAACCAGAACTTCACAACAGAGCAGTCTGAGGTTTTCCTGACTCCTGTTCAAGTATGGTACTTAACCAAGCACAATTTTTACTATTTCACTCCTATATTTATGCTACTGTCCAGTTCAGACTGTAAACACACTAGGTGTAGATTTATTGAATTAAAATGCAGTCACTGGCTGTGCAATGCTGGTGGCAAAGCTTATTAACAAACAAAACATCTGGCTTGGAATTTAAATCATTCTATAAGAAGGTTGGAAAATCTATTCAGAGAGAAATGGAAATCAGAATGTCTAATCCAGTAACAGAGTAAGGCACAGTATCTAATTGATTAACAAGTGTTAAGACCGTTTTTTCTGGATTTAATTCAGTCTTAGATGTCACAACAGATACACTGCTGGGGGAAAAAAATGAATGCATTAATTGGAATTTTCTAAACAATATCTTCATGCACTAGATGAATATTGAAAGGATTCCTATGGCAAAATTTTTGGAAAATTTATTCTTAGGGGAAAAATTGCTTTCGTATGTTAGATTTCCTTTATCAAGTATTCTCCTATACTACAGAAAAAACCTGCAGTGGATGAAAAAGAAAGGCCAGATTATAAAAAAGAGAGAGGGTGACCAGGGGGGAGGAGACGCGGCAAGCAAGAGGGGTTAGAAAAGAGGAAGTTTTTCTGTTCTTTTCTGGCTCCAAGTCTGGAGACGCCACCCCAGTTCCTTCCCTGACCCTGCTTCTGGGGTCACCCTAAATCTCCGTGTCCAGTCCACAAACCCCTTAATGTACATCCCGAGAACTCGGGAAAGCTAAGCCCCATTGTTTGGAGCCCAGACAAACCACATGGGCTTCACCCGAACAGGGAGGGCACCACCCACCCCCTCCTTTTCCAGCGAGTTTGGGTAATCAGCTTTACAGCTCTGGGGGGCTGAGGGGTGAGGGTTCGCGGTCGCAGCCATCCGTGGGCACGAGCCCTCCGGCTGTAATCGGATTCTGCACCCGCCGCCTGGGGCGCGGGGGAGGGGGCCGCAGACTGTTCCAATCTGCTGTCTGCACTCGCGTGGACAAAATGCTGTCCTCTTCGGGGCAGGAAAACACCATCGCACACCGCTCCCGACCCCTTGGGCTCAGAGAAAGCCTCTCCCAGACTGGGAGATCCGTTCCACTCGGCAGATAGGTGACAAAGCCGCCTCCGCCCCGGGGTCCAGCGCAAACGCCGCGCTGCACCTCCAGCCGCCAGTTGGGGCTGAACTGGGGCGCCCGGGCTCCCCAAAGCTGCCTTTTGAGAATGGGGACCTCTCCCTGGGTGAGAGTCCACGTGCAGGCACGGAGAGGACAAGTGAAATGGGGACCGTGCCCCCCTCTTTGCGCGCCGCGAAATACCCAGAAAGGGGCGGGTGGGCGCGGAGACTTCCGGAGCAAAGCGCGCGCTGCAGCGAACTTTCCCCAGAAGGCGAACCCCGCCGGAAAGAACCCCCACCCCCAGCGCGCCCCGGCCCGCAGAGTCCCCTTACCATCTCTTTGCGGAGGAGCGCCAGCGCGGCGTCCAGGTTGGGGGGCTTGGCGGGCAGCGCCGCGCCCCGGGCCCCGCCGCCGCTCGCTCCCCCGCGGCTCAACTCGTCCTGGATGCGCGACTTCTGCGCGTACAGCCGCTCCAGGTGCCGCCAGCCCCCCGACGCGCCGCCGCCCGACGCCGAGTGCAGCAGCCCGCTCAGGCTCTTGGGCAGCGGAGGCAGCCCGTCCACGCGGAGCCCCCGGACGGCGCCCGGCGCCGCCCCAGCCCCGCTCATCGCGCCCGGGTCAGCCACGCGCGCGCCCGGCCGCCGCCCCGGCCCCGGCCTCCGCGCCCCTCCCCGTTCCCGGTGGCGCCCCGCCCACGCCCCACCCCGCCGCGCCGCCCCGCCTCCCCGCCTCCCGGCGCGCGCCCCCTCGGGCCCGGCTCCCGAGCCCCCTGGCGCCCCAACCGCGCCCCCTCACCTCTGGACACGCCCACCTGCCCGCCGCCCCGCCCACCTGCGCCCACCCCTGAGCCCCGCACTCCGTTCCAACCCCGCCCCTCACTCCGGCCCTCCGCTCGGGTGCCCAACCCCGCGACTCCACCACCTCCAGACCCTCCCCGCACGTCCCTTCACCTGCCGGCGCCAGTCTGGATCTTGTGCTGCGGCCCCAGGCCCCGCGAGGGAGGTTCAGGGACCAACCCCAAAGCTGCTCGCGATGACCGAGGGGGCCCCCACTTTAAAGGCTAACCAGTAAGGTCGGGAGAGGGGCGGGAAGGGGGAAATTGGGGTAAAGAGGACCCAGCTCTGGGCTGGCAACACGTCTGAGGCAGAGCGCGCCTGCGGTCACACCTTTCCCCCCCAAACCAGGACTTGACCAGGGGGGTTCGGTCTGAGGGACGTGGGGAGACTGAGTCCTCTGGGGAGGAATCCATTCCACTTCCAGTGGATCTCAATGGCTTTCACGACGACTGGGATTCCCAGAGCCGGAGAATCACTCAGCACTTCTCAGGAGAAGGCAGCGTCCAGGCTACCGACGGCAGCTGTCAAATGTGGAACTAGCAAATATGAACAAACGTGTCTTTCACCCTGGCGGTGGCCACCATGGAACTGTTTCCAAATGGAGCTGTTGGGAAACTAGAGAAAATGGTTAAATCTCAGAAACTACCTATGGACTCTGAGGCAAAAATAAACACGACTCACCTCAGAGAGGGAGAGAAAAGAAACAGGCTCTTCCTCTTGTAGTTGGAATAAAAGTGAGACAAAACCATATTAGTGACAGAAAAGGGAAAGAAGGGAGAACTTACTGTCCCACAAAATTAAAAGTAATACAGTATATTATAATGCCCCCTGAGTATTGGTTTTGATATAAAGGGGACTTAATTGTTCTAAATGCATCCAATAGGATCATAATTATAATGTGTTCTGAGTGCTTCAGACACCTAACATAAGAGATACCTCCCCTTTTTGGGAGCTTTTTTCCCTTTTAATATCTCCCCTCCCCCACTCCCCAGATACCCCAGAATCAATGGTTTTAACAAAGGCCAATGTCCTCCAAGGAACCAAAGCAACTAGGTGGGGCTGACATGGAGAAGCAGGTGGTGTGGTTTGAGCGTATGAGGAAGGTTTCCCACCCCACCCACTGCCCAGAGTCTTCTACCTCCACACCGTGCCTCGCCTTCCACTAATTATATAGTCACAGTTCCGGCTTTCAGGTATTCATTCACCTATTTAAACTGTGGGTGTCTTTGGGGAAGTTACAAAATTGCTTGTATGAGAGTAAGGAGAGGAGGAATAGGAAGCATTTTGATCTTCTATTCACAGTCTGGCATGAATATCTTTCATCTGGGATGTCACGTTGCTGCAGTGCCTAGCAGAAATCACAGGTGTGGATAACATGAAAGAAAGAGTTAGGACCAGCTAGAGGGTAGCATGAGGTACCAGATGCCAGGACATGATGCCAACAACTTTATTATCTTTTTATTTTAAATTTATTTATTTTCTTACATCGTTCATTTTTGGACAGTATTTGATTTCTCCGCTCAGGTGTAGTCCCAGTAGTTCTCCCACCACCATAAGGTATCTCTTATGTTAGGTGTCTGAAGCACTCAGAACACATTATAATTATGATCCTATTGGATGCATTTAGAACAATTAAGTCCCCTTTATATCAAAACCAATACTCAGGGGGCATTATAATATACTGTATTACTTTTAATTTTGTGGGACAGTAAGTTCTCCCTTCTTTCCCTGGTGCTCTTCAGCCCGTTTTTTTGGTTTTGTTGTTGTTTTTTTCTTTTTTAAGATTTATTTATTTATTTATACAAGCACTGGGTACAGTCAGAAGCGCAGGAGGGTGAAAGAATTCATCAGAGCCAGAGCGGGGAACAGATCAGGCAGCCTGACCAAGTACACTGCTGAGGGGAGCAGCGGGAGGTGGGAGAGGTCTGCAAGCCATGTGGGACCCTCCCACATGAGGGCCTGGGATCCAACTGGTGCTGCAACAGCTGCAGGCAGCTTCTGGGGAGCCCCCCCCCCACGCCCCTGTTTTGACCCCTCTCCCTCTTCCTCCCCTGTAAGCCTCAGGTCTATGGTCACTTTGCAAGTTTTGTCTTTTTCCTGCCCCTTTGTTTGATTTCCCTGTTCCCCTATAAGTGAAACCTTTCAATATTTCTCTTCCTCCTTCTGGCTTATTTCGTGTAGCATAACCCCCTCCATCTCCATCCATGTTGCTGCAAATACGATGCCGCCAGCTTTAAAGGCAGGTCTGGTACATACTGAATGAGGTGAACATATTGAAATAGCCCCTTAATATCAACACATAACACCCCAATATAAATAGAAATTTGTGCAGAATTTCTGCAGTACTGATTAAGACTTTATTTCTGTAAGCCTGAAACATAATTATGCAAGAGCCCACCAAATATTTTGATACTTGTGGGGGAAGTAAGTGTCTGTTTATTGGAAGGTCAAGGCACCATTTTTATAATCAGAATGAAATATAAATAACTTCTGAAAATATGTTATTTTCTTTAATTCTAGTCAATAATCCTAATAGTCTGATCTCAAACCAGAATGAGGCCCAGCCATTTCCTATACAGCTAAATCAGTCCCCCCACCTTTTTTTTTTCTTTTCTCTTTGTTTTGTTATTCATAGATTCCTGGAAGCCAGAAAATACAGATGTAAAATCCAGTGCTCTATTCCCTAGCCCACACTTTTTTTTTAAGATTTATTTTATTTATTTATGCATACAAGAACTGGGGTGTAGGCCGGAGGTGAAGGGGAGAGTGAGAGGATTCACCAGAAACAGAGTGGGAAGCAGAACAGGTGGAGCTGCTGAAACACACTGCTGAGGGGAGCAGTGGGAAAGATGGGAGAGGTCTGCTGCACCATGTGGGTTAGTTCTTTGGCAGGGATCGAACTCATATCGCAGAAGCTGTCAATTGCGTGATAGCAGTGAGACTTTAATCCCTGGGCCACCAGGGAGGTCCTAGCCCACACTTCTTTGACTTTATAGCTCAAGTTTGGGGATCTGAGCTTTCTTGCACAAACCTTAAAGTTGCAGACATCTGTTGACAGTCCGTGCTCTACAGGCATGTTTACCAGCATTTTTTAGCCAGGAGCATGCTGTGAACTCAATGTGAACTGTCAAGGACTCACCAGAAGGCCATCTCATCCTCCTCTATCCTGTCCTTCTACTAATCCAGCCACTTCTTCATCCTCGTGGCTAATCCCTACCCTCTTGTCTTGTGTTTTCAGAGTATGGCAGAGTCCTTCATGCTTTTTATAATTCTAAAAGTTTAGCAGCTTAGGTTGTTGATAGAATGGAAAGAATCCGAAAAAAACACATTAAAAGTCTAATTGAACTTTCTTTTTACAGTTGATGACCTTAAATTCTGCTTAACCACACAAAGTTTATCTTCTTATCCACGTTAATCATTTTTCACTTGTTGCAGGACCTAAGTTTGAATGCTTTGGGAGCAATTGTGCAATCTCTTTGGCCTCAATTTTAGCAAATGTATTTATCTCAAGATGTGGTTTCTTATGTTGCTGTTATCTCTAAAGCAAGTTGTAAATTAAATTAAAAAATGTACACAGACAGGGGCCTCCCGTGAAGTGGGAGCAAAGCCCTTAATTTTGAATTTCATCTGGAGGCATCTTTGAGCTTGCAGAGTAGACACCATGAACAAAGCTCACCCTCCCCAAGTTGAAAAAATACATGGAGAAAAAGTTACCATTGAAATTAAATGGTGGCAGACATGCCCAAAGAATACTGCAGACATTTGTCCCTTTGCATATCTTGTGATAGATAAATGTGTGGAAATGGAAACTGGTGAGCAACAAAACAATACTGGAATGGTGGAAATACAAGGAAATAGTCTAATCATGTTCAAAGCCTTGGAATGAGTATAAACAGGAGCTGTGTTCACCAAAGAAATCAATTGCTTCCACGTGTCCCCCTCTCCACAGCACTTTTTTACTCTGATATAAAAATGGGATCACATAAGATTTTGGCTGAAACCATCATCTCCCAAAAAGTGGCCAAAATGACCAACACAAAAAGGAAGAGGAGAGGTGCTCCCCCTTTTAGAAAACATGGAGCTGTTCCTTTGATCACATGCATGCAAATCTACGAGAAAGGTGATAGTTTAGACAGCAAGGGGATGGGCACTGTTCAAGAAAGAATGCCCCACACCAGAAGAGTCTCTAATGTTACCCAGCATGCACTTACCATTGTTGTAAACAAACAAGGACAAGATTCCCACCAAGATTCCCACGTTGGTATTGAGTCTGCTAGGCACTGGAAGAGCCGAGAGAGCTTCCTGAACATGTGAAAGAACATGATCAGAAAAAAAGGTCAAAATAAGCTGCTTGGGTTCAACTGAAGCACCAGACTTCTCCACCCAGACAGGCACACTGTGAGAACCAAGGGAAGGGGCCTGAACCACTGGAATCCATTCCCTGTGAAGTCATGGCATGACAGGTGTGAGGGAAAATAAAAAACGTTTGCACTATTAAAAAAATTGGGTCCCATAAATAGATAAGTAAATAAAGAAGTAAAAAGTATACACAAAGCATTTTGAAGTTCTGTGCAACTTTGTCTGCACGGAAATGGAAGCAAAAGTTAGCAGGCAAGTGTAGACTCCTTTATGTAGTTGCTTTGTCTCCTCAACCATATTTATGTTTATTAAGTCAAGGACAAGACTTTTTTGGTAGCTGCTATAGCTCCTAAAGAAATGCTGTACCCCTAGTGATACAAAATGTTTTTGAAGAATGTATCATTAGATGAAAG